GGAAATGTAATTAGCAAATTAAAGAGTTGGACTTACACTTATATTCCCGAGGTTTTGTTCTCATTTAAGTAAAGCCCATGGTCTAAATCACAGTGATTACAATGCCATACTAAGTAAATAAATGTCTGCCTTTCACAATTACGTTTTTATTTCCTATTTTGCATTTTCAATATGAAAGCCAGATTTCGGTTACACTTTGATTTGCTAAAGAGTTTTCTTAAATAATATCTTCTGAAAATAGAAGGGCAAACACACATACAATGCATGGATTTTTGCCCCTATAAACATTTGCTTGTGTCCAGGTGGCATGCAAATACAAATATTGGTGCTTTCCATTTAGAGAGTGTTATACTTTCCTTTTTATCTTCAAAAAACATTTTTTAAAAGAAAGGTTCCTATCTTTCCTTTGGCTTCTCTGCATGTCTCTGGAATAATAAGATAATATAAATCGGTTTCAGGAAACACAGGAATTCTGAAAAGAGGGGAGATAAAACTTCCCAGGGAAAGTGCTCCCTCAGATCTGAGTCTTCTGGCCAATGCCATGAAACATAAATGTATTGTGGTGAAGCAGACGGACTGGATTGCGCAGATGGCAGTTCAAATCCTAGCTTTGCCACTTACTAGTGGTGTGACATTGGCCAATCTTTAAATCTCAGCAAGCTTCCATTTCCTCATTTGTAAAATAGTGTCTCCTTAATAGGATTGGTGCGAAAATTAAAAAAGATAATGTACATCCGGTGCTGGTACCTATTAATCACCCAAGAATTCTTAGAGATTATTGTTATTGTTTCTATTATCATTGCTATTTCTATTATTATTAAATCAGAAATAACGTGACCCTGGAGGTGAACACACACCATGGTTTCAGCCATAACATTCAGTTTCAGAACATTCAGTTTCAGAGGGTCCTGCTGTGCCCAGGGTGAGAGAATTGGACCTCAGAGACATGCAGGAAACTGACAGCCTCGAAGACTCTAAGGCTCTTGAAAACATTCATTATTCCTAGCTCTGCCTGAGGCTGCATTCCTGCCTACCAGGCTTGTTTCTGCCCTCGGGCACTTACTCCATTTCTCTGTTCCCATGCCAGCCTTCCTGCCTTACTTTGTGTCCCTCCTGCATGAGTCATCAGAACACCCTCCCGCTCGGTGACAGATAAGGTGGATAACACCCCTCAGGTCCCTGCTCCTACAATTGGGACAAGAAAGGAATTAAGAGATGGGACTCAAGCAGAGGATAAGGGTTGAACTCAGCAAGTCACACGCATGCACACACATGTGCACACGCGCACATACTCCATTACCGATTGTAAAATCAATTAAGAGGGTTAGTGACCAGAAATATTTTCCATGAAATAGAATAGAAATTATCAGCATACATACCATACAGTAAGCAAAGTATTATTATGTTAAACTTTAATTTCAGTTATGTATATGTGTACATGTCTGTGTCTGTGTATACATGTGTGTAAACTGGGTTGTGATATAAGTGTATTTATTTTGTTCTCATTTGAAACACAAGGCCCCTTTTAAGGGTCCCTTTTGACTAGAAAGGTCCCTTTGAACTAGGAAGCCTGATTCAGTAACTCTCCAAAATCTGTAGCACTGAGAGCAAAAATGCCAGTAGTTATGGAGGCTTTGGTTTTATGGGGCTGGTCTACGGTTGTTTTATTTTTTTTTCCCAATAAGAAAATAGACTGTGTCCTCAACAGTAAATAACTGTGTTAAAGGAATATAGGATCTACCATCAATCCCCCTGGAAGATGAGAGGTCTCCCAGAAAATAGAACACAGGGTAAAGTGAACACAGTGATTGATGTCTGAAACATGCTTTGGACTCCATGACCCACTCCTCCTCAGCTCAATAGGCTACTTTTGCACACAGTATCGCATCCATGGAGACCGGGCATGCTTATGAAGACTTGAAGAGAGGGGGAAAACTGCTGGGGTAGGCGGGCATTCTCTCCCAGCACACACATACGCAGGAGCTCATATACTTACATAAGTGCACACCAAGAAGCCAGAAGATGTAAGATGTATCAACGCCTCTGTCAAGCTTCTACAGGCCAATGGAAGCAGGTACATGTCCCCAACAGAGCAGGCCTGGGGTTCCAAAGCCCTCCAAAGCCTGTTTTTCACTCTGCTCCTCCTTGGCACAGAATAAGTCACTTCATTCTCCTCCTCACCTAGGCAGTTAATGAGTTTACATTGAGAACTATAATTGCCAAGATGATTAGACACCCCAAACACTGGTCGGCACAGATTCTCCTGTTTGAAAACCTAAATAGGCAACTTTTTAATGATCGGTGAGGGCTTGGCAAATATGACATCACAGCTAGAGGAACTAGTCAGAGTATCCTACTTGCTGGTTCTGCATGCAGTCACAGCCTAACATGGCCCACAGACCCAAATGCTCCCGTGACAGCCCAGCCCTTGAAATGCAGTCAGCTTGGGTTGAGCTACCAGAAGGTCACAGTCCTACCCTGTGACCACCCCCAAAGCACTCTGGCTATCTTCACAGGCTTCCAAATCACAACCACATATGTGTAGACCAGCCACCCCTTCCATTACTACCGAAGATGGTTTACTCTCAATCATTATTAGTGAAATTTCTATCTCGACCCCCAGAGGGGCATCATAATTCAAAATTCTGAGGCTACTTTACCTTTATCACCACATATGAACACAAAGCCAAGAAGGAGATCCCCCCATGTTCAGCACCTTCTTTTTATTCTAGTTAGCCTTGGGCAGTGGGGTGATACTAAGGTGACTATTTGCTCTTATTCTTATTTAGTTGCTATTCTGGTTCATTTTCCATGTAAATAATGTATTAATAATTTGAGCATGTACCCTGGGACAGTTTTGCAACTGGAATAATTTTTAAATAATAATTTTAAAAAACCCCACTATAAACAAAGCAAAGGTTTTCGAGTCGCTTTCCAAGGCTGGGTGCAATTAGTCACAGGCTTATGAATGCAACTCCATTATTCTTCTATTGAACATGAGTCATGTATGCTTTGTGGTCATCATTTCAGGAATAAATACATTGCACCTTCCTTTGTGTGTCTTCAGTATGGACAAAGTCTTCTGCTTCAGGAATTTTGATTATTAATATGTTAACCATAATTTTCAAATCAAAACTCTAGACACAGTTTCTGAAATTAAATTTGGTCTGATTTTATGATTTCTTTATTTTTTAAGATTTTATTTATTTATTTGACAGAGACACAACGAAGAGGGAACACAAGCAGGGGGAGAGGGAGAGGGAGAAGCAGCTTCCTGCAGAGCAGGGAGCCCGATTCGGGGCTCCATCCCAGGACCCTGGAATCATGACCTGAGCCGAAGGCAGACGCCTAACGACTAAGCCTCCCAGGTGCCCCTGATTTTATGATTTCTTACAAAATATCTTATCCAATCAAATGTCGGTCATCCCTTCACATTTATTTTGATGTTAAAATAGGAATGTAAAAGAAAATAATTCTGACCCTCTGAAACAATTTCGAATTCGTTTTAAATTACCCAACTACGTTCAAAAGTACTGGGGAAATTCAGGGTCTCCAACCCCTCCCCACATTGCATTCCATCACTCTGTGTTGCCCCCAACTAGCAGGATTGTATAGTATTCTCCAACTTTACAGCGAAAACAACAGCACACACATACACATCATTGAACTGAATGTGGGCTAGCATGCACACACGTGTCATCGTTAATCCCTGTTCAGCCGGTGGTGACTCAATTTCTGTGATGCGTATATTTTTATTGTATTCCTGCTTGGAGTCATTCCGTTACTTTTCATCAGTTGCTGGGATTCTCAGTTCTTTCACTGATTTGTGGAGACAATAGGTCAGAATATTTAAAACTGATGTTATCTCCAGAAAAGAGACATATGGTCCAGGAAAGAAGCAGGCAGGCCTCCCTCTGCAGGAGTGAAGGCATTGACAGAAGGCACGCCCAGGGCACCATGTCCTGAGCATCAGGTCAGGCCCAGTGCAGCTGTCAAGTAAAGGAGGGAGATACCAGTGATCATCGCCATCACAACTACACATCTTGAGTATTTACTATGTTCAGTATTCACCAGTGCTCTCCTTGCACGATCTCATTGAACACTCAGAAAAGCCCCGACAGAGTCTTTATTAGCCCTGTGGTCCAGCTGAGGATAGGGGCTTGGAGAAGTCATTTAGAACTGTTAGAGCACAGATCGGAACTCATCTTCCGAGGCCGGGGACGGTGCTCTGGGATTTCAGCCTCCCCCTAGACCAAACATAATGCCCACGAGGCCTTTAGGACACCTCACACCTTCTGACTGTCATTCCGGCCTGAGCCCCTGAGTCAGTTTTTACAACATCCCCACCAGTCTCTGGGTTCTAAAACTAGGAAAATGTCTGCAGCGTGTTGGGCAGTGAGGAAGCATCTTTTCATTTATTCTTTTAAACAATTCTCATAACGAATGCAATTTACCATTCCTGACTCCTCACACTTTCCCCCTCAACATGTGATTTTTTGATTATTTATTATTATCATAATTAACATTTATTAGACACATGATGGTGCAAAATATGGAGGACGACAGACTCCCCCACCCTTTTGGTTTACAATCCAAATATTTAGATTGTAAACACAATGTTTTTGGCAGATTAATTCTGTATGAAGAAATAGAGCATTTGCAGGAAATGTCAGATGCTTATTTTATGATCAGTGTAAGGAGTAATTTACCCCACACAAAGATTTGGACTTGGCAAGCAAGCCCTGTCTACCTACCCACATGTGAAGAAGGCAGGAACAATGCTGCTTTCTTGCCACAGTTTTTAGGAAATAGATTTTTAACCCTCCATAAAATGCAGCGGCAGGGAGGGGCAGGGTAGGGGATTATTGATGGCCACGTGGCAGCTGAGCCAGAGACATTAATGGAAGTCTCTGCTTAGCCCTCCTCGTAGTAAGGAATAAATCCAGGCCAGCTCTTTGGCACTAAAGAGATGCATAAAAAGTGACAAAATTGGTCTACTTCTGCAGATTCCTCTTTTGCTATCTGCAGAGTGAGACTGGCAGCACATGACGCAGATAACTCGCTCCACCACGCTGGCTTACAGATTTCCTGCTGAGGGAGTATCTCTCCTTCCAAGGGATAGACTGAGGCCCACAGATGCAGTGTTTTCCATTTAATAAACTGTGCCAATTTCATGTGACCTGATATTGAAGACTATAAGATGGAATGGAACACTAAATACCCGACCTCACAACTTTTTTTTACTTCATAGTACCCAACTACCAAAAATATGGATCTCATGAAGGTAAGAGAAAGTCCGTCTCTGGGGGGGACACTGCAGAACGATCGCGCATTTCCACTGAAAGGAGACTCTGCGCTCCCATAGTTCAGAAAGCTGGAAGGTTTTTAATTCATGATTTATGAGCAGGCATGAGTGTGAAATCTAAATGAACTACGGAACAGTTAGGAATTTTAGTCCAGTACCTCCATTCTATAGTGAAGGATGAGATCGTGGGTCTTATCCAGGTTCATGCAGTTGGTAAGTAGCAGAGATGGGACACGAATATAGATTTTTTTGGTCATTTGATCCAGAGTTTGTGCCGACATGCCATGCTGTCTATGCTTTTTAAACCCGTAACACAAACATAGGCAGGAGTGAATATGCAACTCTGGAGCAATCCACAGATTCTGAATCATCCGAGCATCTCCACAAAGTTGGTGAACCCAGAGGTGAGGACTCTAAACCATTAGCCATGGAGAGTTCCACACAGATCCCATTACCTCAACAGAAGACATCCAGCTGGGCTTATATTCAGCCTGCAGCTAAAGCTCCCAGCCAGGGTCTAATCCAATGGGTCAGAGCCTGTATCCTACTAGTTGTTAGGTATTTTGAATATCACACCTGCTTGCTGGGAGATCCTGAAGGTAAGAGAGCATCACTGAACTATAATTGTAAGAGGCAACATTGCAGCTTGAATAGTGCAAATCATTCAAACAATATGAAAAAAAATATTAGAATTACTCTGAAAAAAAGCAGTAGAACTACCCCTTTGAGCGGTCCTAATTTTCTTTTCCCATTGCTCTAAATACTGGCCATGTGAGAACAAGAAATGTGACAACGCTAGACTTTTTAATGTTTACATTACAGTCTCAACTAGCTGAACCACTATTGGAAGCCATTAAAGGGGCATGCTCTTGCCATGCTGTTCAGCACCCTGTTCTGGCACCTTGCTTAACACACTAACTGGAATTATGAAAAGGGAGGGGTCCACTGGGTTGATCCACACCTGATCTAGAATTCCATTATTATAAACCAGTTGTTCAACTGAAAAAAAAATCTTCCAGTCTCTCAGCCTATTGATGAAATAATGAACTCCCACTGCTCTGTTATAAATATTGCATGTGTCAATTGGAATTTTGCACCTTGGCATCTGGCATGGTACATCGAACTTATGTTTTCCCCTCACTCTGTCATAGCAGAACTGTAGTGCTATTTTATACTTTAAGGATACTTATCTTTGAAATTACACACATTCTATAACGTACACAAATGATATTATTTCTAATATTTGACTAGTGCCACGCTTCTTTTGAGATGCATGGCATCACAAATGATCAGAGGTTTGCTCTACAAGAGAACAAAGGGGTAGAGTGGAAATTGGAAAGACAACAGTCCCCATTACAGGAACCTTCCTAACCACAGCTACTCAGCATGCCACTTGTGATGAATCTGTCCGGGCTGGCACAACTGTCACTTTAACTTCTGCTTTATCAGAACTAAAGTAAATAAAAACAAACAAAAAACTGTAGTGTGATAATCAAAGGGTCAAAAGTTTTTTAATCAGCCTTTCAGAACACACCCACAATATTGGCAAGTGCCTCTAAGAGCAGGAAACTTTAGGGATGATACCACGCTTTGCACAGAGAAAGGTTATTTTCTGCTGTGACATAGTGTTTGTGGTGTGACATTTAGATGATTTTTAAAAAATGGCTACTACATAAATTTAGCAATCTATGACACTTGTACCATATCTTATGCTTTGAACATAAAGTTTCTTCTTCCCTGGTGTTTCATTGTTTGTTTGTTTTTAATGGTATGTTGTAAGTGATTATTTTCAGTTGATTAATAAAGGTAATGTCTTCTTTGTACATTGTATAGTAAGCAAAAGTTAACCTGCACCTTCTGAATCAGCCACTATGTGGTCCTGGTGGAGGATGGATAACCCTTCTCCAGGCTGAAATATATAACTTCTCTGAAAGGGAGCCTTGCCTTTTTATACCATAACCTGCTCTGATACAAAGGTCATAAACGGGGGCACCTGGGTGGTTCAGTCAGTTAAGTGTCCAACTCTTGATTTCAGCTCAGGTCATGATCTCGGGTTCATGGGATTGAGCCCCACATTGGGCATGGAGCCTGCTTAAAATTCTCTTTCTCTCCCTTTCCTTCTGACCCTTCCCCGCCACGAATGCGCTCATGCGTACATGCTCTCCCTCTCTCTCTCACTTGTACATAAATATTTTTTTAAAAGTAAAAAATAAAATAAAAAAGGTCATAAACGTTTCATATCCATTTCAGTTAATTCTATTCACAAACTTACTCCATTTGTGTGAATTAGCGTGCTGAAAAATATGATGATGCTTCATATTTATAATTTGTCTTCTGTTTAAAATCAATAACACTGTCCCTTTTCTTTTTCCACATAACTGTCAAGCAATCCTTGACAGAATGGCTCAGGGAAAGACTATCTGAAATTCATTTCAGAAAGGCCAACTGTTGGATCACAGTATTTCTCTCTAGTCTGAAAATTTGGGACATCATTGCTAATTGAGCAGAGCAATGCACAACACGCTTTGGTTATTTTCTAGCTGAATATCAGCCTGAATTTACCAAACAATTCAGGTCTACAGACCCAATTCAGACCTAAAGAGCACCCTAACCACATTCCCTAAGTAAAGAAAAAAAAGAGAAAGAAAGCAGAAAAACCTAGCTAGTCTTAGATTTTTTTTTTTTTTTAAGATTTATTTATTTATTTTAGAGAGAGAGAAGCACGAGTACCTGTGAGCAAGGACGGGGCAAAAGGAAAGGAGAAGCAGACTCCCCGCTGAGCGCGGAGCCCCACATGGGGCTCAATCCCACAACCCTGAGATTATGACCTGAGTCAAAACCAAGAGTCAGTCTTTTAACCAAATGAGCCACCCAGGCACCCCAGTCTTAGATTTCTTAAAGGAAACATCAATAATCTCCAGTAGAAGACAGTTCATAATGTGCTAAAGAAATTGAAAAAGTTGAGTGGTGTTGATGCAAAGTGATGGAGCTGTGGCCTGTCGCAGCTGTGCTGGATTGAGGATCCAAAGGTCTTGTCCAGACTCTCCCCGAACTAGCTCCACCACGGTGGCCAAGTTGCTTCCCTTGCTGAGGCTCAGTTTTCTCACCTGTAGAATGATGGGGCTGGCCTTGATTCCCGAAGGTCCCATTCAACTCTAACATGTTGAGGCTGTGCGTCTATAAAAGACTTGCGATGGCTAAAATAGGAGGAGGAGGCAGATGGTATATTGGGCTCAAGGGTTCTTACCAGGAAGAGGAAGAAGAAGAGGAGCCAAGAAAAGGCAAAAGAAAAGCCAACACAATTCTATTCAAAAGGCCTGGAAACGTAACTAAAGAAAGTAACAGCTAATAGCCAAGTTAATTTCCAAAGGTGTAGGAAGTAAAACTGGCACACAAAGCAAAGGAAAATAGGCAAAATATGAGGAAAATATGGCAAAAATTAAAGTGCTACACATGAGTCTCAGTAGACTGGCACACAAAGCAAAGGAAAATAGGCAAAATATGAGGAAAATATGGCAAAAATTAAAGTGTTACACGTGAGTCTCAGTAGAAAAAAGAAAGAGAATGTCCAGTGAGGATTCAGGCTATTGTATACTCATAATACCAAATTCTTAAAAAGAAAATCTATACCTCCTGATAAACATGCCTTTTTTTTTTTTAATGTAAACTCATATCATCCTTTTATCTCTTTGTCTGGGATTTGAGCCAGGCTGGGGAGTTTGGTCTTATAAGGCATGTAATCGGGAATCGCCATTACATAGTGAAGTGACGAGAGAAAACGCTGCCTGTTGCTACAGATGGAATGCTTGTTTCCTGCCAAAATTCCCCCGTTCAAATCCTAACCCCCAATGGATGGTAGGAGGAGGCGGGGCCTTGATTAGATCATAGGGTGGAGTCTTCATGAACAAGAGCCAAGACTCAAACATGAGGTGTATGATTCTGAAGCCTTGTTTCTGCTTCTTTGACACAAATAAGTCTTTAATATTAATTAAAGTAATTGCTACAGAAGTAACCTGGTCCAGGGAGTCAGGGAAGGTCTCCCTGGGGAAGGGTCTTTAGAACTGAAGCCTGAAGATGAGCAAGAGGTGAGAAGTCTGGGTGGGAAAGTTGCTCCTGGTGATTATCAAATAATTACACTTTACTTTTGGTCACAAAGGCCCTTGCACCATTATCACACACAGATGCCTAAAATAGCTTTAAGTACACTTTTTAAAAATTATTTTAGCAATCCCAAGGGAATACAGAATTATCTTTTCCCAGAAATTCAGGATTAGACAACCATTTCTATCTGGGCTGTGCTAAAGAAATATTCTCTGAGAATCATTCCTGGACAGCAGAGCTAGAAACCTGGAGATTCTGGTGATGAGCCCCTTGCTTCCAAATGATGTGAGCAGCGGGGCTGGGGAGGTAAGGTTTTCAAAGTGCTTGACTCTGCGGTATGGGGAGGATCCAAGTTCTCCTGTAAAAGAAGAATAATGGGAAACCACCCCCCTCTGACTTTTCTCCCAACCACTAGGTGGGTGTTCACTGAGGGAGGGCAGGCAGGATTCTTGGTCCTGGGGTGAGGAAGAGGCTCTATAAATTAGGATGGTCATCATGGTCAGAGTGGAGCAAAGGGAGTAAATGCGGCAGTTGGTTTTGGCCACTGCTCATGTGGGGAGCAGCCTCCCCCAGGCTAAGATTGGCAGGAAGCACAGTGCGCATGATGCACACACCTGATGCTGCATCGAGGCAGTTGTGCATATGATGGGACAAAAGGGCGCGCATTTCTGTGTCAGGGGCATGTATTGAAAGCTAGATCTAGACTGGTGCTAAAATACATGTTGCAGTTCTGGGTCTGGGACAGTTTTTATGTTTTGTGCTGCTTCTTCCAGAAACCAGCCTCCTCTTTCTCAAGGAGAGGAAAAAGCACATGTCCCTAATTCTACCCTTAGGGTTCTTTTTCTAAAGGATAAAATGGCCAGCGTCAGCCAAGCATT